GGTCAAGAGGAGCCTGGCCCTAGTTGGTTCCTGCAGCACTTGCACCAGGAAATTGTCCCCAGCATTCTTCAAAACTTTCCCGGATTGTCTGTGCACTGCTGTATTGCTCTCCTAGCAGATGTCAGGGAGATTGAAGTCTCCCAAGAGAACCAGTGATCTGGAAACTTCTGTTAGTTGTCCAAAGAAAGCCTCATCTACCTCATCCTCCTGGTCTGGTGGTCTGTAGCAGACACCCACCACGACACCACCCTTGTTGCTCTCACCTCTAAAATTAACCCAAAGATTCTCAACAGGCTTTTCTTCGGTTTCATACTGGAGCTCTGAGCAATCATACTGCTCTCTTACATGCAGTGCAACTCCTCCACCTTTTCTCCCCCGCCTCTCTTTCCTGAACAGTTTATACCCATCCATGACAGTGCTCCAGTCATGTGAGTTACTCCACCAAGTGTCTGTTATTCCAAGCACATCATCGTTCCTTGACTGTGCCAAGACTTCCAGTTCTTCCTGCTTGTTTCCCAGGCTTCTTGCGTTCGTGTACAGGCACCTAAGATAACTAGCCGATTGCCCTGCTTTCTCAGTATGAATAAGGAGGCCTCCCCTGTTGCACCCTCCTCCTTGTGTTTCCTCCTGGTATCCCACTTCCCCATTTACCTCAGGGCTTAGCTCTCCATCCCCCGGAGAACCTAGTTTAAAGCCCTCCTCACTAGGTTAGCAAGCCTGCCTGCAAAGATGCTCTTCCCTCTCTTCGTTAGGTGGATCCCATCTCTTCCTAACAATCCTTCTTCCGGGAACAACATCCCATGATCGAAGAACCTAAAGCCCTCTCTCTGACACCACCTGCGTAACCATGCATTTATTTCCACAATTCGATGGTCCCTACCTGGGCCTTTTCTTTCAACAGGGAGGATAGATGAGAACACGACTTGTGCCTCAAACTCCTTTATACTTCTTCCCAGAGCCACGTAGTCTGCAGTGACCTGCTCAAGATCATTCTTGGCAGTATCATTGGTGACCACATGGAGAAGTAGGAAGGGGTAGCGATCCGAGGGCTTGATGAGTCTCAGCAGACACTCCGTCACATCCTGAATTCTAGCTCTAGGCAAGCAACACACTTCTCGAATTTCCCAGTCTGGATGGCAGATTTTACATATTATATTGCATTATAATATGTTAATACTATATATTTAAGAAAAGATAAACATTGAAATGTTTCTGAATTAATTTTTTTAATGTCTATTACATGAGAAAGTTTGAATTTTTGAGTTTTTGTTCTGATTCGGAACAAAAACAGATTTCAATACTTTGGAATTTCCCAGGAGATGGAAATTCCTTTTTCTAACCAGCTCTATTCAGGACCTTCAGATTCAGATTCGGGATCTCTGTTACTTGAGGTAAAGGAATAAGTGGTAGCAGATGTCACTTCTTTAATCTTCTGTGTGAACCAGCCACTAGAGGGAGGATGTTGCATGCTAATTGCTAGACAACAGTCGAGTGTTGAGAATCAGCATACCGGCGCTTTATCTTTGACTCTGAGAGTGGAATGTGGTGTAATGGTTCAAATGTAACTTCCAGACAAGATAACCAAATACTGTGCATAGATTTGGCACGATCGTTCTGAAATGCAGTATGGCTAAGTGGATGAGACTTGCGCTGGCCATCTTAGAGACCTGAGTTCTACTTCTGGCTCTGTGAGAGGTAATCTTTTATAATTACCTTACCGGATCTGTCAAGTGGGGGGAAATTATACCCGTCTTCCTACTAAGTGAGGTGTGTGAAGCCTTGTTTCAAAGGTTGGGGAAGTTCACGGAAATATAACATGTGGTAGGGGTGAGATTTGACCTCCTGTTTTTATGGCCCCCAGGCTTTTGTATGTCTTTCACATAAATTCTCCCTGAGACTGGTAAAAATCAATGTTTTAACAATGCTGAGGGAGCCACGGCATCTTCACATTTAGAGGACTGTCCCATGAATGTGAGGTTGGGTGATGATCCTACCAGGTGCTCTCTCCAAGCATTCACCTTTCCAAGAGTGCTCCCCCTAAACTGCCCTTCTCTGAATGTTCACATTAAACAGCTCCCCAGGCATGCCCCTAAACTATTCCTTCCTGAGTGCACACACCAAACCACTCCCCAGATGTTCACCATGTTCACCATGAGGTGCTCACTTAACCAATTCGTCAGGTGATCACACTGAAGAGTGATCTTCAGATCACTGAAGATACTAAACTGGGAGGAGTGGTAGATACGCTGGAGGGGAGGGATAGGATACAGAAGGACCTAGACAAATTGGAGGATTGGGCCAAAAGAAATCTGATGAGGTTCAATAAGGATAAGTGCAGGGTCCTGCACTTAGGACGGAAGAACCCAATGCACAGCTACAGACTAGGGACCGAATGGCTAGGCAGCAGTTCTGCGGAAAAGGACCTAGGGGTGACAGTGGACGAGAAGCTGGATATGAGTCAGCAGTGTGCCCTTGTTGCCAAGAAGGCCAATGGCATTTTGGGATGTATAAGTAGGGGCATAGCGAGCAGATCGAGGGACGTGATCGTTCCCCTCTATTCGACATTGGTGAGGCCTCATCTGGAGTACTGTGTCCAGTTTTGGGCCCCACACTTCAAGAAGGATGTGGATAAATTGGAGAGAGTCCAGCGAAGGGCAACAAAAATGATTAGGGGTCTGGAACATATGAGTTATGAGGAGAGGCTGAGGGAGCTGGGATTGTTTAGCCTGCAGAAGAGAAGAATGAGGGGGGATTTGATAGCTGCTTTCAACTACCTGAAAGGGGGTTCCAAAGAGGATGGCTCTAGACTGTTCTCAATGGTAGCAGATGACAGAACGAGGAGTAATGGTCTCAAGTTGCAGTGGGGGAGGTTTAGATTGGATATTAGGAAAAACTTTTTCACTAAGAGGGTGGTGAAACACTGGAATGCGTTACCTAGGGAGGTGGTAGAATCTCCTTCCTTAGAGGTTTTTAAGGTCAGGCTTGACAAAGCCCTGGCTGGGATGATTTAACTGGGAATTGGTCCTGCTTCGAGCAGGGGGTTGGACTAGATGACCTTCTGGGGTCCCTTCCAACCCTGATATTCTATGATTCTAAGAGCTGAATTAAACAAGGAAGTTGTGGAACTCATACAGACTCTGCCCACAAATGAAGATTTGCACAACTTAAGTTGGATGCCACTCATGGCAGCTGTATAGATGTTAAAAATATGATCAGGTCTCCCCTCTGGCCTCCTCAGACTCCCTCTGAATGGAGCTGATGGATTCCTTGGGCTCAGGTCCCCTTGTTGGCGTTCAGATTTGCCAATGGACTCCACTGGGCTTCTCAGGCTTGGAAGCCTCACCTGGCTCCTTACATCTGGATTCCTTTCTATAGAGATCAGATGCCCTGCTGCGTTTTGTTAGACACTTTAGGCTTGAGTCCTTCCCGGCTAAATAAAAGAATAAATGGTGGTACCCTCCAAAATGCCACCTATTTCTGGGGCTCCCCAACCAGTGACTATTTGGTTTGGCCCAAACCTTTTTTTAAAAAATTTGGAACTGCCAGTAAGCGAAAAAATCAGTTATTCACCCAGCTGTAGACAAGACGTAATAGATAGATGAGCCAGACAAGGGGGCAAGAGGAGGGAGGATGAGATAACAATATAATAGGATGTATTCGCATAGATTTATTGGGTGCACAATGCACAGGTGTAGGAAGGCAATTAGTAGCAAAGTCAGTTTTGTTCAAATTTAACACACACACAGAGAGAAAATCATCCTTGTGCTGAGAGCACAAGCATGGAAAACTTCAGCCCCAAAATAATGTTTGCTATGAAAGGAGCATTACAACCTCAACAATAGCATGCACTGGCATGTCTCTGCAATAGAGGAATCATTCTCTACTGGAGTGGAATGTGGAAGTCAGGGGGGCTGGAACAATTTGTATAGTGGGGGTGCTGAGAGCCACTGAACCAAACTGTAAACCCTGGATATGATGGAAACTGCTTCAAGCCAAAGGGTGCTGCAGCACCCTTAGTTCCAGCACCTATGGTGGAAGCTATTTAACAATGACTAGCAGCAGTACAGAAAGTGAAGAGAAATCTCATGTCCACTTTAAACTACAAAAGAATTTGTGTTGGCCAAGTGTTAGAATTGACTGGGATTTACTAGGTTTACAGCTATGCTCTTGAATGACTTTTGAACTTTAATGAGTCAAGAACTTGCTATTAAGTGTTCCCTTAAAGCAGTCAGCTTCTACACAGCCCAGTGACTCTAACACCATGGTGGGATATTAATTTAATAGTAGTTCTCAGATAGTTCTCAATTACACCAGTGTAAATCTGGAATAATCCCACTGATCTCCATGGAATTCCTCCGATTTATACCACTGTACCTGCGTTCAGAACCTGGCTCCAAGAGAGGAGATTGCCACTCACTATCTCAGCATTACTTCCAGCAGCACCCTAGGGTGTCCTGGAGATCTAGCCCAACAGGGCTTGTATTGAAAAATCTAATGAGGTCACAGCCCAAGATGGCATGTCTGCAGAACATTGCAAATTATTCCTTATTGTGCCCCCAGGATCAGCATTACCATCCTGTCTTATTACTTAGGAACTTAAAATTAAGTAATTAATTAAATGAGAGAGAGAGATAATGTGGTACTGATTCTGGGCAGCAGCTCTGGAAACTTCTGGAAGTTCTTTAGTTTTATTTCTGCATATTTTCACAGTATCAACTGTTTGTACGATTTCACAGCACAATAGAGTCCCTGTTCATACACATGCACATATGCATGCTTACACATAGCCCTCTTCCACACCCACATACCTGATAGATATGAGAAACTCCCATTAATTGAACTGGCAATTCCTTGTGTCCTGTGGTGGGAGTATAAGGTCCCTGGTTTCACTGAACAATTTCTAGGCCCTGGCTGAAAGCCAGGCATTGGTGTGTGGCTGAAGCCATAAAATTCTTCTGCTTTTCAAGGGTCATTCTCATGATTGTTTCCTCTTTTTCCAGTTCTTTTTGCAATGAAGGAGGATAACGAGAAGGTCCCTACATTGCTAACGGACTACATTTTAAAAGGTAATAAAATGTCAAAGAAACAAACAAAAACCCTAACAAGAACCAGAACAATTCTAGACACCATGACAATTAGTACCAACTCAGCAATTATTATTTTCTTAAGACCAACACTGAGCTTGGCCTTTTACAAACATATCCAGAGACCATTTCAGACTGGAAATAAGCCATACATTTTTAACAATGAGAATAATTAACTCCTGGAACAACTAACTAAGGGTCATGGTGAATTCTGCATCACTGGCACATTTAAAATCAAGATTGGATGTTTTGGGGGAGGTTCTGTGTCCTGTGCTATACAGGAGGTCAGACTAGGGGATCACAATGGTCCCTTCTGGCCTTGGGATCTATGACTACACTGGTCCTGGCCCAAAGACCTTTCATCTTGACTCAGACAAAACTGTTCAGGTAATGGTAGAAACTCAAGTGGGTGCAAAAATCTTGCATAAGTCATTATTGAATAGCTTAATGGAAAAGTTTGTTTGAAGATTTTGCATTTTGCTCCCCAGGGAGCATAGTGCTGTTATACTCAATGGGCTTTGGATTAAATCATACAGCCTTCATCCTGCCGGTCATGACGTGGTGCAAAGCAGCACGCAAAGAAATAAATTAATTACAGTTGCTTAATATTCATTGTTGAATTTCTCAAGAATAGTAAAGTATTTTTTCTGTTCTGTAAATAGTAATACACATCATTCACAATAATATTTAATAATTAAAAGAAATTAGTGAGTGATCACTTAGTTAAAAGCACTTATTTAGTATTTAGTACAAATTACAGCAAATTAGTTACAGTATAAAGAAAAGGAGGACTTGTGGCACCTTAGAGACTAACCAATTTATTTGAGCATGAGCTTTCGTGATGAAGTGAGCTGTAGCTCACGAAAGCTCATGCTCAAATAAATTGGTTAGTCTCTAAGGTGCCACAAGTCCTCCTTTTCTTTTTGCGAATACAGACTAACACGGCTGTTACTCTGAAACCTGTAGTTACAGTATATACATTACTTCACTAGTGGCAACAACTGTATCATGGCAAAGCCCTGGCTGGGATGATTTAGTTGGGGTTGGTCCTGCTTTGAGCAGGGGGTTGGACTAGATGACCTCCTGAGGGTCCTTCCAACCCTGAGATTCTATGATTCTATGCTATTTGTAGACCAGTTTGCTTTACCAGAAACCACAGTATAATTTACTGGTTAGTATAATTTTGAATACTTCAGTAATAAGTAAAGCAACAAAATGAGCAACAACGAAAGTTAAATGTGAATCACAATATAGAAAAGATATGGAAAACCAGATGCAGCTAAAGGACCGATTTTATCAGTTTCCCCATTGAGCAGCCTGTCTCTGTCACTGAGCTCCTTTATACTCCGCCAAAGGTGATGCAGCTTCATTCTACAGCCCAAAATGTTAATTAAAAATTTAAGTTTACAAATTTAGGAACAGGGATCTCTTTGACTTGTCCAACCATGGTTTCAAATTCAAGGGAAAAACATCAATTCCATTGGTCAATTGGACACACTTTCCCTCCATACCTGTATTTTGTTTGCAGTGTTCTCTCCATTTCCCACATACGTGGTGCTGGTCTATTCCAGGCACTCGGCCATACTGGACACACAAGATGAGCCCTCTCTGAGGGTTCTGTCTCGTCATTACTAAGCCCCAGCTTGGTTGCATGGCCCCGAGGGCATCACACTGGTAAACCAATCGTATGTGCTTCTCCATGCAGCAATCTACAGTAGCTACCTACCACCATCCGTGAAAGTGCCTTACCTGTACCTGAGGTATCTTGGTCCTTCCTTAAAGACAGAGTCCTCTAGAACTAGCACCAAGGGGACACACATTCGGGTTTTGTAGATATTTCTCTTTTCAGTTAGTAGTAGAGAGACATAAACCTGTATGGCCCCTCTAAGAGGCCTGCAGTCAGGAGTTAGCATAACTACCGTAGCCAACTCAAGGAGGACATAAGCTTCCTTTAACACTTGTGTCTCATCCCTATATCAATTTAATATTTGCTTGTCAGTGACAAGATCTGGCACTTTCTCTGCCTCCAGGTCTGTAAAAACTTCTTTAAGTCTCATAAATATGCATGTACCCTTGCCCCACACATTACCTCCTTAGCCATAGTGTGGTTTTCAGCCTCATCATTATTATGCCCAATTAACTGATTAACCTTTTCTAGGGTTTCATTTAGTGCCTTAGAAATATTATGCGAATTTATTATTGTAACTCCTCCTTCAGAAAAAAGAAAAGGAGTACTTGTGGCACCTTAGAGACTAACCAATTTATTTGAGCATAAGCTTCCGTGAGCATAAGCTTTCGTGAGCTTTCGTGATGCATCCGATGAAGTGAGCCGTGGCTCACGAAAGCTTATGCTCAGATAAATTGGTTAGTCTCTAAAGTGCCACAAGTCCTCCTTTTCTTTTTGCAAATACAAACTAACATGGCTGTTACTCTGAAACTCCTCCTTCAGAGTAGGCGTATGGTACTTTCAAGTCCATTTTACCAGTGTCTCTAGTGTAATTGCAGCCAAATGCATCTGTCTAGCCTTTTGACCACATTGAGTCTCCTTAATACCAAGTTCATACATGGCAGGCATTGGAATTCCTGTTGCCCTGGGTTTCATCCGACCACCCACTTGTAGTTGTAGTCTGTGATGAGTTTGCAGAGTCTGTTGGCTGGGAATTCAGGATTGCTTGTTTCATTTGGTTCCGTTTGCATGATCCAAATCCATAGTCCCACAGACAAAAAGTATTCTAGTAACAGAAAGCCATTCTGTAAAATATCAATAATAGCAGTATCCTGCTTCCCCTTTAAACATTTTCACCTGATTAATGTGTAGCCATTTGTCCCACATCTGCTTTCTTTTATCAATGCCCCCCACATACACAGTCAGGCTGTTTTTTTTCCACAATACTATAGGGACCTTCCTAACTAGGTTGCAAGGGGTGTCCTTTGATCTGAGTCTATTACCCAGGGGAGCCCCCATCTGGTAAAGACTTGTTCTAAGATAACCATAGTCCAAGATAGTCAATTTGCAACCTAACCCAAGGTCCTTCTGTTTGTTGGTATCCTAATTTGACCTTGTTTTTTGTAGGCCCTGGGTTAGTTTGGGCACAAACCAAACAGTTCTCAATATAATGTTTAACAACTTGCCTCATCTGTAGCAACCAGCCTATTTGCTGACTACGAAACACTGTGTTTTCACTTCCCTCATGCCCTCCAGTATGCAGTTTATGATATATGTATATACATTCAGATTGCAGCTCTTTAGGGATAATCGACACCCATGCATCTGAGGCTTGAGCCATCCATACATTTTCTCCCCAGGGGAACTGTATTATCCTCAGTGGGGTCCCCTTATGTTGTGAGGGTTCTGCACCTCCAAGTTTTTGTACAGTGGTGTCTCATTTCTGCAGGCCTGCCAACTCAGAATCCTTCCACTGTATCTTAACAGCACTGACAGGGCCTGGGCTGCATTTTTAGCTGAGAGGTCAGCCTTTTTTTGTTCCACTCCGCATCCAGGGATAATTTAGCCTTTACTACAGCCAGCATCATTCCTCTATCCCTTTTGCCAGAGGAATTGACATTATACACGTCTGCATCTATAAACACCAATTATTAAAAGAAAAGATTTGATTGCTTAAAATCAAAGGTGCTTATAATGTATAAAATAAAATATAACAAAATAACCTTGTGTCTTATAAACTTATTACAACCTAAAAAAATGGTCTTTTTAGCTTTAATTTTAAAAAAAAAGTTGGTATCACAGAACAACACAAAAGTTTTGATATAATTATGTGCAAAATTAATTTATTTTTGTTGCAACAGAAATAAAACCCCTAATAAAAATAAAAATGGTCACAGGACACAGAATGTACACAAGGTATAAAAGCAAACAATATAGAAAAGGTTATCAGGGTTAGTCAGTGAGGAGAAAGACATACAAGAAAGACATACAAGCTGATTGCGGCGAAAAACCTGAAGTCAATAGCTGCACTTTAACTGAAATTCAGCCAGAAGCCAAAGATGTTTTTCTTGAATGACTGTAACAAAACAATTAAACAAGTGGTAAAGAAAAACCCAGCTTACTCCTGCCTCAGTGATGGGGACTGGACTAGATGATCTGTCGAGGTCCCTTCCAGTCCTACATTTCTATGATTCTATATTTATTAACATATTAACCCAGTATCCTTTAACTAGTAACCCACATTCTTAAGAAAGAAGCAAGAAACCATTTTATATGTGTACTTATTACTTTACTTTACCTAAGGGTTTTAGAAAAGTATTTGTTTAAGCTTTTAACTGCATTTAATTCCATAAATTTATTGCACTTTCTTTTAAATGTTTTTACTAAAATTTGGATTAATTAATAGAGCCCCTTGTTTACATGATTACATGCACACGCGCACACACAGAGAGTGGGGTTGATGTGCATGGATCATGCCAGTACACTAATTTACAAAAACATTTTATAACAAATTTAAATTTTCAGATTATTTAGTAAAATAGAAGGGATTTTTACCTGCCTTTTAGCTAATAGCTAACTATATCTCCTTTTTAGTTATTTAATTCTTAAAAAGTGTTAAAATCATGCTGCTTTTCCTTTTAAGTCTTTTTTCTAGATTTACCATCAAGATGAGGCTGATAGTTTTTCCAGATTTTTTTTTGCAGTTAGGTTTTTCCTTCACTACAATCACCCACCGTTTTAGATTACAAGTGCTTCTTGAATCCATGGAAGTGCACTCTGTCTTTCTTCTAATAAAAGTCTCAGCTGTTGAACTTTTGCCTCCCCTATTCCTGAAAAAGCTGATATAATTCCCTTCTGAGCTGTTATTTGCTGTTTCTAGTAACTAATCATCTCTCACGTTCTTTGTGATTATTTACCTTGGAATTTTTACTACTGCATCAGGACATTCTGTCTTAAAAGAGCTTTGATTTCGTCATTCTCATTCTAAACCTAAGACAGCTAAGTACCCCTGTTTCTATCCTTAAACGCCTCACTC